ATTGGACTTCTGCTTGGTGTTTCTTTCCTAAAGGATATTCAATAATTCAAAAATGCAGTTTTATTCAAAGTAGAGAGAGAAATTAAAGATTTTCACAAAGCAGTACATAAACCTTCTGAATACAAACCACACCCCCAATTCTATAAGCTTTCACAGTTGTCTATTTTTTTGCCAACTTCATAGAATATTTTTTTTTGCAGCTTACTTTTATGAAGTCTTTTCAAATGTTCCACTCAGTTTCATGGAAACAACTCTTTCATGCTCATATTTAAAATGTCTTTTATTACTATTAACTTATCTAATTAGAATAAATACACATGGCATAACTGGTTGGGGGACACACTCAGCTGGCTCTTGATAAGGATGCAATAAGGCTGTGGATCTGAGCATCCAGTATACTTGGGCATCCGCCAGTGAGGAGCAGAGAGGAAATGGAAAATGCTCACTCATTTGGTGAGTTGGCTGAGTGGGGATGGTTGAGAGAGTTTACAGTACCTGTCTTCTTAAAATATGCAGAGCACTGAAATGAACCTGTACAAAGCCTTCTATAATAGAAAGGCTGGGGACAGAGGAAGGTTGCCTATTTCTCAGCATTAAGAGCTATGCTTGGGAGCACCTTGATAGTTTCCTTCAATCTGACTTGATGTAATAATACTTGTACCCAAACATCCACTGAGTCAAAATGCTACCACAAATTGTTCTAACTCTTGAAAATAGTTCCAAGCAAAGTCTTGTGTGGGCTTTCTGTGAACAGGGAAAGTGAATTTTCTTAGGTAACACTGAGGTTCTTAAGTATAAATGTATGGGTATGGTGGGGTCTATTTTTTGTTTTTGTTCTTTTAGGGAGAAAAAAATTATCAACATAAAAGGCAGGCATCTTGGACAGCATGGATGCTATGGTTCTGTGCACTTTTGCAAAATCTTCTAAGGCTTCTAGGTATAATTCAGTGTATGGAATTAGGTTTACACCTCAAGGATGCAGCCCTGGCTGTCCAACTTCCTGATTCTTTTTCTTCTTTGGCTCCTTGCCTTGGCAAGTTTTTTTTTTTTT